AGAGAGAGAGAGAGAGAGAGAGAGAGAGAGAGAGAGAGAGAGAGAGAGAGAGAGAGAGAGAGAGATTAGCTAGAACTCAACAGGAAACCCCAGCCAGCTGCGGCCCCCGGTATAATATCATATAAGCTCGTGCGGTGCGCGCTATGTGCCAATACTATAGCTGTGCGTCTACATGTGCTGCCTGCTCTCTGTTTGATCCTCTTCCGCTGCTGTGCTAACTCATAACGATAGCCGGTCTACGGGCGTGGCTGTACTGCTGCTGCTGAGCACTGTTGCTGCTGCTGTTGCTGCTGCTGCTGGTGGTGGTGGTGGTGCTGCTGCTGCTGCTGCTGCTGCTGCTGCTGCTGCTGGTGGTGGTGGTGGTGGAGAGCACCTATAGACAGTCTCTTCTTCTCCTGTTAATCCCTCTTGCACATCTATCTAAGTTTCTATAGAACTCCGGTACAGCTCCTACAGAACTCCTGTGCTGTTCCTATAGAACTCCTGTACAGCTCCTATAGTACCGCTGTACAAGTCTATAGAACTCTTCTCCAATATCTGTCTTCCTTCCTCCAATTCCTCGTTTTAACTCACGTACGACTCTGCATTTCTTATAGAACTCCTCTAACAACTATAGCTGTAGAATTTCTCTCCCAACTTCTCTACATCTCGTGCACATCTCCCGTACAAGAATTCCTGTACAGTTCCCGGAGTATTCTGGAGTGTTCCTGCTGCCAGCACGTAGCAAGACAGGAGGAGTTGGTGTCGGTGTGCTGGTAAAAAGTGAAGCCAAGCCAGTAGAGCGTGTACATACGCACAGGTGGGGTGCATACAGCCCCCTGCACAAGTTGGTCGCTGGGTTTTTGCTGCTAGTGGATGAGGGATTGACGGTTGCTGCAAACATGGTAAATATGAAGCGGTCTGCGTGAGGAGGAGGAGGAGGTGGAGGAGGAGGATGAGGAGGATGAGGAGGATGAGGAGGAGAGGAGGTGGATGAGGAGGCGGGGGAAGCGAAAGAAGAAGAGGGAAAGGAGTTCTCTTCTCCTTATATATTAATTACCCCCTTTCCTCGTCCCCCCCCCTCTCCCCCTCCCTTCTCCGTCTCACTCCTGTTCCTTCTCATTCGCTTTCCTCCCCCCTACTCCACCTCAGCCCCTCCCCATCTTTCCCTCACCCCTCCTCATCCTTAAGTTACCGTTCGCCCTTCGCGTGTCTATCAGTATTCAATCTGCGGGTTGGATTGGCATGCTTGCTGTTGTGGTTAGAAGTCGTTGTCCTCCGCCGTAGCAGATACATTCGTGCCACGATGTTTGCTCGCCAAACACAGACCGGGGGGGGGATGGGATGAGGTGAAGGTGGTGGATGAGGGGGAGGGGCATAGCTGTACTGACGTTTGACAGGGTGGTGGTGGCGGTTCATGTGTGTGTGTGCTGTACTGTGACCGCCAGTCACGTTATATTACCCAAATCGCTTTCACTTCGTGTTGACATGAGAGAACGTACGCCACCTCGACCTGACGGGTCCGTGTCACTGGCAGGGTGCGAAATTAACGTGAGTCCGGAGTCAAATACTCCCTGATTTACTGTCGGACTCCCTGATTTGACATATGCAGGAGTCTGTGTGACTCCCTGAAAATTCTGCCATACTAACTAGTTCGTTCCGGAGCACGGCCTCGCGGAATTACCGTATTTTTTCAGCTAATGTCCAAAGAAAATTTGGCAGACGTGCAACCGCATGAATCTTAAAAATAAGCACATGTATGCATTATTGTTAATATCTTTAATTTTGAACCTCAGACTGTGGACTCCCTCATTTTTGCTGCGGGCTCCCTCTTTTTGAGGGTAGGGAGTCCGTTGGACTCCCGTGTTCAAGAGTTCATTTCTACCCTTGCGTGACGTTGTGTTATATGTTAGAGTGACAGCGCAGTGACAGCGCAGTGACAGCGTGAGCTGGGACGTTGCTGCAACTGTACCTTCACGTTATGTACACGCACACGCAGGCAGTCAAACCTGTGCGAGGAGTATCTCTTGAGGGGAAACCCCGGAGTGTCATTTTGTGGATTGGTGTCCGGTTCGTAGCGGTATGTGGCTTTGCGACATACATGGGCTTGTCCGATGTCAGCTAGCATGTGTGTTTGTCGCTGTGTCACACACAGGCTGTTGTCACAGGTGTAGGTGTTTGTGCCACACGCCCAGGTGTCTGCTATATACGTCATCATCACTGTGTGACACCTAGACTGTTGTCACAGGCGTCGGTGTTTGTGCCACGCGACTGTCACCTCTGTCACACCTATGTTGCTGTCACAGGTGCCACGTACGGTGTTTGTGCCACGCGACTGTGAGACTAAACCGCTATCAGCCTTGTAAATATCCAAGTCTGAAAATATCCAGCCAGGCTTGAATTCTAAAATTTTCATTTTTCAACTTAAAATTATCCAGTCGTGCTAAATGGATATAACCAAGAGCGTACATAAAGAAAGCTTCTTTATATACGCTCTTGATATAACCGTTCAAGGGTAACTTAGCAGTGTCTGCCCGGGGCACGAGCTGCTATATTATCCTATAATTTATAAACACTGCTTGTATGTCTCGCTATGTACACACACTATACAGATACGCGATGTGTGTACGCGTGATGTAACCTGATTAAACTCAAATTCAAATTCAAATAATGTTTATTGCGCACACGGATAATCGCTGATCATACAGGCAAATACAAACTACAATAAAACAAGTACCTAGACTAATAAAAACAAGAGAGAAACGATGTGTCTTATACTACTTGAGAGAAACTGCATGACCCATGGTATATAATTTAATTTTTATCTAACATAATGTAACGTTGTATTAATGTCGGATTAGAACTGTCGTGTAATACTACAGTGACGTGTGCGTGTTGCTAGGGGGCGTCTGTCGGCGCGCGATCGTGCGTCTGCTAGCTTAGGTGCTGGCGCCCCCTGGCGGGAGAGCGAGACAACGTTAGTCTCTCGTGACATTGGAATGACTTTGAAAGCTGTAGGAGACGGCAGGGGGGGGGGCGGCAGAGCTGTACGAATTACGACCTTCGCCAAGGACGTTTCGATCAGCTAGAACGCGCGCGCGGATGAGTGAAGCCCTGCACAGCTTCCTTCTTCGCTAAGCATCCTCCCGGAGTCCCTCGCCGCGAGAGTTCGCGTTAGCGGCGTCGTAGCGTTGTTGTTTTTTTCATTTCCGATGAATTTGTTTTTTGTCTGTCTCTCTCCTGCTGTTCCTCGCTCATTGATTTTAGCGGGAGAGAGGAGACAGAGTGGTACTGTACTCTGTAGTCGAGTACTTAGCGTGTGACTGTGAGTGAAGGCGCACGCACCTCGTAATTCTCCTCCTATGTTCATGCTATGCGTCGCTTCGTGATATCCCTGCTGGTCGATCGATTTATTTCTCCGAACAGCATCCTTTACAGACAGCTGTTCTTTACAGACAGGTGTTCTTTACAGACAGGTGACCTTTACAGACAGGTGTCATTTACAGACAGGTGACCTTTACAGACAGGTGACCTTTACAGACAGGTGTCCTTTACAGACAGGTGACCTTTACAGACAGGTGACCTTTACAGACAGGTGTCATTTACAGACAGGTGACCTTTACAGACAGGTGACCTTTACAGACAGGTGACTTTTACAGACAGGTGACCTTTACAGACAGGTGACTTTTACAGACAGGTGTTCTTTACAGACAGCTGTTCTTTACAAACAGGTGTCCTTTACAGACATGTGTCCTTAATAGACAGGTGACCTTTACAGACAGGTGACCTTTACAGACAGGTGACCTTTACAGACAGGTGTCCTTTACAGACAGGTGACCTTTACAGACAGGTGTCGTTTACAGACAGGTGTCATTTACAGACAGGTGACCTTT